GTTTTCTGCTTTTTGTTTGCTTGGTTGGTTGTTTATTTATTTGTTCATTTGTTTGTTTGTTTGTTTATTTGTTTATTTGTTTATTTATTTATTTGTTTATTTGTTTATTTGTTTATTTGTTTATTTGTTTGTTTATCTGTTTATGTATGTATGCATTTATGTGTGTATTTATTTATTTATTTATTTATTTATATACTTTATATAATATTTATTATATATAATATAAAATATATATGTATATTCTATAATATATATAATACCTAATATACAATACATACATCTATACATGTATATACCCTAAACCCCAAACCCTAAACCCTAAACCCTAAACCCTAATAAATACCCAAAAAAACAAACAAACAAACAAACAGACAAAATAAGTAAAACAATAAAATAAATAAAAAAACAAAATAAAAAATAAAAAAAAAAAAATTATATATATTTGTGTGTTATGCAGGCAAAGAAGCAGCAGCAAAGCTAAGCGGGGAGTTTCTTTATCCTATTCGTTTAGAATTTGAAAAAGTTTATTCTCCTTTTTTATTGATGAATAAAAAAAGATATGCGGGGTTGCTTTATACAAACCCAGAAAAGTATGATAGAATAGACTCAAAAGGAATAGAGGTATTTATTTTATTTTTATTTATTTTTATTTATTTTGTTTTTTTGGTTTGGTCTGTCTTTGTTTGGTTTTATTTCCTTTTTTTTCGTTTTTTTTTTATTTTTTTATTTTTTTTTTATTAAAAGATATGCGGGGTTGCTTTATACAAACCCAGAAAAGTATGATAGAATAGACTCAAAAGGAATAGAGGTATTTATTTTATTTTTATTTATTTTTATTTATTTTGTTTTTTTGGTTTGGTCTGTCTTTGTTTGGTTTTATTTCCTTTTTTTTTCGTTTTTTTTTTATTTTTTTTGTTTTTTTTTTATAAAAAAAGATATGCGGGGTTGCTTTATACAAACCCAGAAAAGTATGATAGAATAGACTCAAAAGGAATAGAGGTATTTATTTTATTTTTATTTGTTTTTATTTATTTTGTTTTTTTGGTTTGGTCTGTCTTTGTTTGGTTTTATTTCCTTTTTTTTTCGTTTTTTTTTTATTTTTTTTGTTTTTTTTTTATAAAAAGATATGCGGGGTTGCTTTATACAAACCCAGAAAAGTATGATAGAATAGACTCAAAAGGAATAGAG